CTACGCCTATGTCCTCATTCAAGCACTGACGGAATATTGGTCATTGTAGAACGAAGTTTAGACTTGACAATGCTCATTTTAGAGAATGTTCGTTCAGCAGATGCAGAAGTAACAGGAATTGTGGCCAGTCCTGTGAAGACGCGTGAGAGGCAAGGACAAATTTTTGTTTTGTTTTGTTTGCCAATCAACAGGGGGGGCCATGGCCCCCTTGTGCCCCCCCTTAGCTACGCCAGTGTACTTGGTACATCCAATCTCAGACTTTCTCTTAAGCTTGTTATTCTCACAAGACACCTGGTTAGCAAGCTAACAAGTCATAATATTTCAAGATAATGCTGCTTCATGCTCCATTTAATAAGGTCAATAAAACGTTAGAAACAGACATATAATAGTGCGTCCGACGATATCCCAAAGAAGGTTAAATTTGTCACTCGACCCCCTACCTCTATATTGGGATTGAGCCTAAAGTGTCATGTATTTTTACCAAGACCAGACATCCCGAGACAAAACTGTCATCGAGGACATGTTCCGTGTCTGTTGTACTTCTGCCCAAAATATAAACGGACATTGCACGTACATATCATCCCTGATCGTTTACCTGATATAGCAAGGTAGTTGATGTCATGGCCAGCCTTATTACACAGCGGTCCGTTTTGTCCGTACCCCGTCAGACGAGTGTAGATCAGTCTCGGATTATCCTCCAGAAGTAAATTTGGTCCTAGTGACAGCTTCTCCATAACACCTACACACGTGTAGAAAATGTACAAGGAGTACATTGTGACAAACAAATCATTCTTGTTTAATGACCCAGATAAATACATTTGTGAATTTGTAATAACCTCGTAACTTCGTAAATATTAGTCTTCAAAGTCCATGGTACTATATGGAAGATTGAAAGAGACAAAGTTGATCAAATAGACAGATCAATACTGCAGATCTCAGTAGAAAAAGCTGCAAGTTTGCCACTAACTAAAGAAGAAGCAAGATAATTCCAATACGAAATGAGGAGTAATAAGTAAATATGTGTGAACAGTCAAACTGGTCGGGTCACAATTAGAGCAATATGCCTCGTCTAAACACAATGACTGAATTGACTCTGACACGTACCGGGGCGGTACGGTTCTATAAGTACGTCTGCTGTTTTGCACAGCCTCCTCACCACGGCAACGCCATCAGGCTGCTTAAGGTCGACAGCAATCGAATACTTTCCTCTGCACAGCCGGTCCAAATCAATGCCTGAATTCGCCTATAAAGATTGAAGTGTATCTCATATACTACTGCGGTTAGAAATATATGTGAATTCACATGGACAGCCTACAGTATAACATATGGGATAACTTTAGAGAATAACTCTACGCAAACAAGCATCATGACTCTTGATGGTCAAAATAATGTTTATATAGTGCGGCATGCAGTTATTTGTTAAATATAACGCACTGGCCTACCTTTGTAACTCTCACAACTTTGGCACCAAAATCTGATAAGATCATGCCACAGAATGGCGATGGAGCCAGCCCAGCCATCTCAATGACTTTCAGTCCCGCTAATGCCATTGTGAACAGGGTACACTTAACCTTGAGGAACTGAAACACCAAAAATCAGGCACCTAAACAGCAGACTCAGTCAACTACAAGATGTATGAAAATGATGTAAAACTACATCATCATGTATGAGTATGATGATCATGTAGATCACTGACTAGGCCTACATCAATCAGTACAATATGTTATATGATGTTTAGTTTCTACTCGACAGGTTTTTACGAAGTGGCTACCATATAAATAGATATACACCTAGAATAGACATACCTATGATTTGTAAAATCACATTGAGCACATCAAAGATATTAAATAGATCTCTATCTTTGATAGTTATTCTACCTTTGATCTACATAAATGTCTTTCAAACACGACTTACTTCCGCGGACTTCGTGACAGCGGCGCACAGCGCCCTCTACTATGATCGAAACCAAATATGAGAGGGCAGCACCGTCCAGGACGACCTTGTTTGCTTTTTGCACAGTGCCCGTGGATGCTGAGTTGAGTACAATTTCGTCCATTTAGGTAATGTTCTTGCATTAGATAATTTAGATGATTAAATCGTTGCAGAAGTGCGGAGTCCTACATCCGTAAAGGTTACCGCACATTTTATGATTATGGACATTTCGGCTAGTGTTTCAGTTTGTACGATGAAGTGTGTTGTGATAACTAACCTCTCTCACTGAGTCCGAGTGACAGTGTGATTCACTGAGTCACGGCTCGCTGTCGTGCGTTCAGCCGGCGTCTGAGATTTTCCTCCGCGAACAACGAGATGCAGACTGCAGCAAACATGATGTACTCTTGCAATGAGACAGTTACGTGCCCTTGGCGAAAACTGAAGGTCAACCCAGCAATAGATCTAAGCGAAGGCTATATTATTAACTTCCGTTCTGTGACAACCGGTCAACCCATTTAAAACCTGAGAACGAGTGAAAGATCGGCGATCTGGATCTGGATCTGGATAGTTATCTGCGTAGCCCACGGTTACGTGGATAATAACGCAGGGAGGTGTGCGCTTAGATGTTGTCGTTAGCGATCTATCTATATTCACTAATATGCATGTCGCGGGTAAGCAATTGCATAACGGACAACATCTATTGCCTAACCATTGCACTGCTGTTATGTGCTGAGCTGTACGCTGTTGTAAACTGCTGTCCGGTGTTGCATGGTGTTGCTGGATGTTGCAAGGGTGTATGGCTACTTTAGTACTTATGTGTCATGTATAAAACCATGCGATACCAACCAACAAACACTCACCCAATGCGCAACAATTAATTTCCTAGTAATTTTGCATTTCCAGAAGATGCTAGGCAGACAGTTACCGAAGCAGTTGGGCGCGGTGATATGGAGGCAGCTAGTGCAGACCGCACCCAAGGCTACGGCAGCCGCTCCTGTAGTGAAACCATTTCATTACCAGGATATTCTACAGACAGAGAAATCGCACGACGTGCCGTGGAAGAAACTCACAGGTAGATGCGTGTATGTGTGTGTGAACGACTCGATCCACTTCTTGATCTGCACATAGGTTAGGTTACTCTTCACAGAATTAAGAAGAAGAAAAAGACGAAAATTTTACTAAATCCTGTTTGAATGGAATCACGATAGTACGCGTATGTGTATATAATAGAGTGAGCACTACATGTACTTTACAAGTACGTACGCACACTACAGTTTTTTGCTCCACTGTGTTTTACGTTTGAAGTTAACAGATATGATGTTTCTCGTCTTGCTTATAAGACACAAAGGTTTGATCTTTGATAAATAAAGTCGTAAAGTTTTATTCTGAAGAACCGTCACTACAGTCACTCCATTCCTTCCCTAGCTCGGATCCTCTCTCTCATACCACGTGACTCCTAGCGTCATAAACATAATATAAGGACACTACAACAGAGAAAATCTACACGCCGTTTGTGTATATGTTTGCAACCTAGGTGACTATGTATCCACGGTCGAAGCTCATGGCCGGCGCATCTTGAAGGTGGAGCCTGAAGCTCTTACCATGATGTCTGGTCAGGCCATGGTTGACATTGCACACCTGCTGCGACCTGCACATCTGAAGGTGGGAAGTAACACGCGTATCGTCACCCGTAAACTATCAAACTGTAACGTTCTTCGTACTGACACGCGTAACCAGCACGCAGTGAAGCTCAAAGTGACATCTGTATAACTATTTGATGGCATAAATATTGATTAATAATGTCTTAGCCATCTTTCCTGATTATATGAAGCTCACCAGGCATCTAATAGTTATCATAAATGTCATGCATGTTTATGTGAAGTTATATTTCAAAAAGTTTACATGATGTACACAAAGTCAACTCTATACTGGAGTGCCATAGCATTTTGCATAAGCTGTACAACCATGTTTAAATTTTGTAATTCTTTATCGCAGCAACTGAGGAAGATACTTGATGATCCTGAGTCGTCTCCCAATGACAAGTTTGTTGCACTGGAGCTGTTGAAGAATGCTTGCGTTGCTGCGGGCATGGTGTTGCCTGGTTGCCAGGATACGGGAACAGCAATTTGCATGGGTTAGTAGTAACGATGTGGCCAGTGATCAGTATGACGATCGACCAAATATGGAGAACGACGTGAGACACTATGGGCGCGTTTGTTTGGTTGGATCCATGGATCTCGATCCAATGGATTCGTTGATCTGATTGTTAGTTTGCTCGGATCCACGGATCTCGATCCACCGAACCCGACCACCGGTTGCCCCCCCTAGAATTTTCAGGCCAGGGTATTTTAGCCTAACACCATTCCCCCTCGGGTGCTTCGTGCCCTTGAGCTCGCATGATTCACCCTCCCTATAATTCACTTTTGTATCCGCCACTGTGTGTGGTGAAGAGAAAGCTTTCGAGGATGTGTTGAAGCTTTTGAAGCTTGAAGCTTGTGAATGAAGCTTGAAGCGTGTGATTCAGCATATGCTATTGTCTGCTGCTTGCAGGTAAAAGGGGGCAGAATGTGTGGACGGAGGGCAACGATGAGGAGGCCATCTCTAAGGGAATATACAACACTTACACGCAGAGAAACCTGCGCTACTCACAGGTTTACGACTCGTTCCTTACTCGGCTGTCATTGGATGCTAATGTTGAGGCGTATATGGTCTGCCGTGTATGACGTAATAACGAATAGTTTAGCAGCGAAATGAGGTATGGCATCGTTGTGCACGTGACATAATAAACCAATAATTATACAATAAACTATATAAAATAATATATAATAACAAAATATAAATAATATATATAACAGTATAATAGCATAATATAAAAAATATATAAATTTCCTCCTACAGGTGGCGCCACTTGACATGTACAAGGAAACTAACACGGGCACGAACCTGCCGGCACAGATTGAGCTTTACGCCACGAAGGGCGACGAGTACAGCTTCCTCTTCCTGGCCAAGGGAGGAGGATCTGCCAACAAGACCTTCCTTTACCAGCAGACGAAGGCCCTCCTGAACAAAGAGAAACTTCTCCAGTTCGTCAATGAGAAGATAAAGGTGACATTTTGTCGCGAACTCACTAGGCGAGAACGACGTCGCTAGCACTGCTCTCGTATCCGCGTCGTGATCCTGATCTCGCGACGCTATTGCCGCTGCTATTAGATGTTCTATTGTCGTTAGGTCGTGTAGTGACGCGCGAATCTCGTATGTTGCGACTCTGATACTCTGCTGCTGCTGCTATTAGACGTTCTATTGTCGTGAGGTCGTGTGGCGACCCGCGGCTCCCACCAGGCGTGTACCGAAGAGAGACAGCGCGAGAAATATTCACGTCGGCCGAGTTTCCGGACCGTTGCCACGGCAACGACGTAATCAACGCGTGTTTTCGATCGTTGACAGACGCTCGGCACGGCGGCGTGTCCGCCCTACCATCTCTCCCTCGTCATCGGGGGAACGTCGGCCGAATTCAACCTCAAGTGCGTGAAGCTGGCCTCTACAAAGTACCTCGACAATCTGTTCACGACAGGTGCGTGACTGACGATTCCTCGTTCTGTTTGCGATCAGAGGAAGCGAATGTAGAGAGACGGAGGAGATGTATATAGAATGCGATTCATTTCCGTTGTCGCTCGACGTTTCTGGCGCTGTGCCAAGACCCGCCGACGTCACAATTGAAGTGTGCTGCAGGCACAACATGTGTGAAAGCTAGACGTCAGTCTAGAGACGTCAGTCTAGATGTTAGGTTTGCGCTCGTTCGCGTCGTACGTTGCCGAGGCTTCAAGGTAATGTCCTTGACTGATAGGCAAGGTCGTTAGCATCGGATTAATGCCCTTGATCTCTCTGGCCAAGGTCATTTGCATCAGATTAATGCCCTTGATCTCCCTGGCCAAGGTCATTTGCATCAGATTAATGCCCTTGATCTCCCTGGCCAAGGTCATTTGCTTCGGGGTAACGTACTTTATCAATTAATAACATCTCAACTAATCGCTGATCTTCATTCGAGACACAGAGAGAGAGAGGGACGACGCCCTCCCCTCGACTAACTAATCTCGTCATCGTCATTAGTTACTAACGATAATTAATTGCGACTAATTAATCTGCAGGTAACGAGCACGGGCGGGCGTTCAGGGACACGCAGCTGGAGGAGCAGGTGCACGAGCTTTGTCGCAGCACCGGCATCGGAGCTCAGTTCGGCGGAAAGTACTTCTGTCACGATGTCCGCGTCGTCCGTCTGCCGCGCCACGGTGCGTCCTGTCCCGTCGGCATGGGTGTGTCCTGCTCAGCCGACCGTCAGGTGAGTGAGAGAGAGAGCGCGGGGGGCAAAGAAAAAATAAAAATGTATTTTTTGGGGGCTACTTTTTAAACTCGCGTGCATGAAAATAGCACTCTAAAATTTGGTTTGCATTGAAATCTATGCAAACTTACGGGGGCTTTTTTTTGGCATTTCTGGGGCTCTTTTTGGCATTTCAGGGGCTAAATCGCCCCGTGTATTTTTTTCACTGGCGGGGGGTGAGGGAGAGCGCGTGGGGTGAGGGGGGAGGGAGAGCGCGTGGGGTGAGGGGGGAGGGAGAGCGCGTGGGGTGAGGGGGGTATAGGAGTGGATGTGGGATGGAAGGCGATCATAAATGTCCAGAGATTATGTGTACAAATGCGGCCCCGCGGCTGCGGCAGCGGTGCGGTGTATGTCGGGTTGTTTTCCTCCCCGTGGAGCGTTCTGAACATCGATCATGTTGGTGCGAATCGTTGCAGATCATGGGCAAGATCAACAGTGAGGGCGTGTTCTTGGAGCAACTCGAGACGAACCCTGCGCAGTTCATGCCGGAGGTCAAGGACACCGACCTCAGCGGAGAGGTTGTGCAGGTGTGTGGGCGTGGGGAGGGTGGAGAGGTGGAGGGTGGGGTGCTGGTGGGGTGGGTGAGATAGAGG